GTACAGATATTACCAGTGCATCTTTATGGGGCTGCATGATTCCTTCTGCGTCTTCGTCGTTGAAGGACAAGGTTCCTTTCGGTATGTAATCCTGAGCCCGAAATCGCTTCTCCCTTATGATCGAGACCTTAGTGCGTTTAAACACTGGCTCTTGGGGAACATCGATCCCTCCGATAATCATGTGAATAATGTGTTACGGTTCTTCTTGCTCTTTTTGTCTATTGAACTCTCTGTTTTTGAAGTGATTCTTGGCCCGATCACTTAAAAACTCCCGAAGGTGCCCTTCATTGAATAACCAGGCTACTTCTTCACTTAACTGCCGGCAATCTTCTGTTCTGTGGCCATGAGTGCCATGATACTTGCATAATTGATTGGGATTTCTTTGGGATGGATCAGTCTACAGAGGTCGAGACCATATAGTATCTTTGATGCGTCCGATAGCCGACACGATGGCGGATGCATCAATATTGAAGTTATACTCTGATAATCGCGGTTCTTCCTTAGGTCTGGTATGCCTGTCGAAACCATTCTTGCTGATCATCCCTCGAGAGCCTTGGCCTCGATCGCTTCTCCTCTCACCTCAAACGGAGTTGTGCCCATATCCGTTTCCCCTACGATCTCTATTATGCGGTTGGTATCGATCCCTATTCATCCTCGGTTCTTGATCGATGTCTCTTTTGGTAGCGGATCCAGAAGGAGCCCCTAGTTGGTCATCTTCAACTCTAATCTTTGATTGATATCGATTATGTATATCGGCCCAAGTAACAACCGGGTACTCAATCAAGTTCTGCTTCAACTGCTGTGAAGCCACTGAGCTTCGTTCATTTAGTCCTTGGGTGAAAGCTTGAACGGCCCAATCGTCTGTGACCGATGGTAGATCCATTCGTTCCATTTGAAAATAAGATACAAACTCTCATAGCATCTCGTTCTCTTTTTGCTTTACCTTGAAAAGGTCCTACTTCCTAGTCTCGACCTTTATGGCTCCAGCGTGTGCTTTTGCAAAAGAATCTGCAAGCATGGCAAAAGAATCGATAGAGTTAGGTGGTAAATTACGATACCATATCATTGCTCCATTTGACAAGGTTTTCCCGAATTTCTTTAGTAATACGGATTCGATCTCGTCGTCTTCTAGATCATTCCCTTTAATGGCACACGTGTAAGAGGTGACATGCTCGTTGGGGTCGGTCGTTCCATTATACTTAGGAATCTCGGGCATGCAGAACTTCTTGGGGATCGGTTTAGGAGCTGCGCTCGGGGTGAAAGGCTTTTGTACGAAATTTTTGGAATCCAAACCCTCTAGTATTGGTGGTGCCCCCGGGATCTGATCAACCCTGAAGTTATAAGTTTTCACTTTCTTGTCGTTCGCTTCGATCCTCTTTTCCCCTGATTCTATCCGCTTTGTCAATTCCTCGAGCATCTTTATAATTTCGGGGTTTGTCCCCTATTCTTGTTCATTTGACCTTACCACAGTTGGCCCCGTTCTGTGGGTGACTTCTTGGGGTGAACCGGGCTCAGCCCTGCTCAGTGCCTGGGTTTGGCTCTACAACTGAGCTATCGCCACCTGTTGAGCTTACAGCATTTCAAAGATCATACGCAGGTTGATCCCGTCTTCTCCAACATTTTGGGTATTTCGAACTGCAGATCGGATTCCACCATGGATGTTGTTTTCGGGACCGGAATGTTGGTTCGCTTCGATGGCCACATGCGAATTAACATCAATCGGATCCACGACCCGAGTTCCAACGGGGTCAGCGGGTGGCCTTCCATTCCTGGGCATCTCATTGTTATTCTCCCCTTGATGGCCAGATTCGTTGTCGATATGTAGGGGTATTAATTGAGAGTTCGTCATCCTGAAATCAAAGATACTTCCAAGAGAAAATGTAAAATAGTGTGTTTGACAGAGATTTGTATCAAATAACCACTATTATTCTTAACCCCACGGTGGGCGCCAAATTGTTTACCCGAAAAATGGATAACAATTGAATTTATACGTGGTTCTAAGGATACATAGTATAACTTGGTACAAATTAAGAAAATATATAAATGAATATCGAAATTAACTGTAAAAAACGAATGCAGACCGAATGAATTAATTGGCCTAGGCCCTCAAGTTTGATCACTTTCAAACTGAATGGAGAGCAGACTGATACAAGTACAAAAATGACTGAATATCCAAACCAAAAGAAAGACAGTATATTGCTTTGTATTCTATGAATCTGAATGAATCTCCTTTACAAATGATCAGACACTCCCTTTATATAGTGGGGAAGTCCTATTCTTAATATAATTTTTAAATACAACAAGGAATCCCATGATAGATTAATTGATTGACCTCTCATTGATATGCGCCGTGATTTCCGCCGAGATTCTCGCCCAATTGCAGATATTCCGGCTTTCTGTTTTTTGGCTCGATAAGCTTTCCTCGATCGGTCTCTATTTTGCCCGATCTCGATCTTGACCGGTCTCTATTTTGCTCGACCTTGATCTTAGCCGATCTCGATCTTGACCGGTCTCTATTTTGCTCGACCTTGATCTTAGCCGATCTCGATCTTGACCGGTCTCTGAGTCTCGAGCTTGGCAACCTAACTTCGCATCATGGCTCGATATTACACGAAATTGAACCTTGGTCTATCATGTTCCAATCTCGATTATTCATACGAAGGGCAAACTCGGTTTTGACCGTATATACTCTTCAAACATAGGATTGAGAAAAAGGGCAAGTCAGCAAATAGGCTGGGAATGTCCAAGGACCCAAACAATGGGAATTCCTAATTTTTACACCAGTAATTACCATGTCAAAGGCAAGACATGGATATTTTTGAATTAGTACAGCCATTAATTTAATTTTAATTTTTTTTAAAGGACGAGTTAAAAAAAAAGGAGCAAGAAGAAAAATCGGAATTATATTATTTCCAAGAAAAAGGAAAGTTGACTTGTATCGTTTTCCGCCTAATAGCCTTTTTTCTGGTCTTAATTCTGAAATAATCATCAGGTAGAGGATTTCATATGAACACTCCAGTTAGCAAGAAGGTCAGCAGTGCTATTGGCTTCTCTAAAACAAAACAAAAAAATGTGAGAAAGTGTAATTCCACTAGCTTCAAATTGTTAATTTTCTCTATAATACTAGCAAGTTGCCATGGGCCATCAGAAAATTTGTTAATACCAGCATTATTGTGCATTTGAAAATCTAATTCCTCCACCTGAATCTGCTTATTATATCCATTCTCAAAGCACCATTTCAATCTAATAAGTAAGCTTTAGGCTCAGCAAAATTATTAGTGCAATTGCCAAAGGAGTAGTAAGCCATAATTAGCAGCCCCCCCCCCCCCCCCCCCNAGCCAGGATTAATTGCCTTTGCTACAACCATCAGTATTAGCTTGAATTGAATTCTCCATCCAACAGGGATAATCTTTAGGAAGGGTAGTGTTTCCAGATATTAAAGCTGATTGAATGTTAACCAAGGTACTGATCATTTGTTGGATCTGACAGAGGAGCTTTTGTACATAGACTTTCTCAACCCCAATCCCCATACCTCACCGTACACCTTCTTTTCCATATTTCCCAACAAATGAAACTTTGAAGACATTGAAAGATGAAAGAAAGAATTGCATTCTTAGGCTTAGGAAGCCACCATTCAAACAGATAGTCTCAGCCCAATAACACTCTTAATGCTACCAAACATCTGCCATGCTGCTAGGGCACCTTCACTCTTCATTAATGTGTTCAATACATTCAGTTTTTTGTGTCTTGCAACATAAACACTTGGAGGGGGCATTAGGACCAAATCTGTTGAGAGTCTATTATTTAGCATTCTAAGCCTCAAGAATGAGATTTTCAGAAGGATTACTACTATTGGATTTGTTATATTTGGCACAAAACTTCAGCACTAGAACCGTTTAAGAGAAATGTGGACTTAGATTTCTTTGCATTTTCCCAATCATACAGTTTTTCAATATGGGTTGCTCTAGTGGTAAGCACCCTCCACTTCCAACCAAGAGGTTGTGAGTTCGATTCACCCCAAAAGCAAGGTAGGGAGTTCTTTGAGGGAGGGAGCCGAGGGTCTATCGGAAATAGCCTCTCTACCCTAAGTTTAAGGTCTGCATACACACTACCCTCTCCAGACCCCACTAGTGGGATTATACTGGGTTGTTGTTGTACAGTTTTTCAATATCCCTCCAGGAGGAGAAGAAACAAAAGATCAATTTTACTACTGTTGGTACCATAATTTGCAATACCTCAAATTGTAAAAGTGAAAGTTGAATTGTCACTTACAGGTTTTTGACTTTACAGCGTCAAGCTAGAATTCCCAGAGCACATAAGAGAACAAGAGACCTGATACTTATTTACTAAAAACCTTGCATATTCTATCGAAATTTGGATGCGTGCAGAAGTCAGTCAAAAGCACAAGAAAACAATAAATGACAAAAGTAGACCATAGAACACAGATTGGCTATTATTCTGATGATTCAGAATTACATGAAAAACACGTCTGAAAGAAAACAATGTGGTCAACATAACATCAATTTAAGTATTCATAAAAGTCCAAACATTGAAAAGAAGTCTGCATTCTAGCCTCAAATAAATTCGATAAATATATACAACTATCAAAAGGAAAAAGAAAATGAATAAACAAACCAAAGACCTTACTATGTCATCAAATCAAATGTGAGAAGAGTAGCTTTCAAACTTTTAGTTAAATTTTGTTGCAACTGCAGCAACTAGATTAAAGACTATGCAATTCTCTCATTACCACATATTTGACAGTTCACAAGCATAAAGAATACAACCCCAGATATTTCCATTATAACCCTTGTGAGCTAAGAATGGATAGGGAGTAGGACAGCGAAGAGATAAATGCACTTGACAGATAGTGTTGGAAATGGGAGGATTGCAAGTTGCACAATCTCACTTACCATGCAAACTTGAGCACTGAACAATTACTAGAGACTTCTGAGGAAAAAAGATTAAAGAAGTACAAAACAATATCATTTTCATAAAAGAAAAACAAAGGCATGACATTTTATACATTTGGCCTCATATCATAAAAATATGAACTATTACATTCTGGAAGCTACATGTGGAACATAAATCGAAATGAGAGTTTGGGAATTCATAGCAGTTTCAATTACATCACAAGCCAAAATTATTTTACATTGAGAAGGAACAAATAAAAAAGAATCAGGTCACTAGAAAAAATCTCTATTACCTCAGGTGAAAATGAAGCTTTGACTTGTTAGTTGAGTCTCTCCCGTCTTCCGAGGCACCTGTGATGCCTTTCTCTAACTCAAGATATATAACAAGAATAACATATCAAATCCCTCGCATTAGGAAGAGGCAGGAAAAAGCCGAGTCCACAACTTCTGCAGCACCATTCAGGCTGTGAACTAGGAACACTTTTCCAAATAAAATAGCTCATCTAGACCTTCCTCACAAATTTAACCTTCATGAATCAGATCCTTGGATATCAGTGCAATTCTTTGCTTAGCACTATCAGAGCGGAAGTTGTCACTTTTGAATCCCAACTGAAAATGAGTGAGTCCAAGGGAGCATTTAGTGAAAAAGGAGACAATCAAGCAGCCTAAAATTGTGCTGATGGTGAATCTTTGTCCTAGTGGTATCATCAAGGGAATAATTACCTCGCTTGGACTATCAGGTGGGAACCACCTAAGCAGCACACCAAGGTGAACTACAGCAGGTATAAGCTTGAAAAGCAATGGAGTAGTCACCTGCCGAAAGCTTTGTCATAACTCAGCTAGAAAACAGAACTAAAGAAAGACAGCGATTAGAAAACGATTTATTCTTCATATGCAATCATAGAAATGCCTTTGCACTTCTTATGTGGGATATGGATCAAATAATAAATATTCCTTTTTAGATGGTGTAAGGGCAGCTGCTCAATCATATAGTTATGAAATACCAGATGAGTTGTAGATGAGTCGGTTCGATCACCCCACCCATTCTGCCCCGAAGAGTAACTAAGACCAATTTAGTCTTCTTGCTAGGTCACGCTCATGGAAATGCAACTGCCCGCAGCGGTGGATTTGGACTCGGAAGTCGATCTCATCGAGAACTTACAGCAGCTTGCCAAACAAAGGCTAAGAGAAAAAAGAACAGAGGTATGACTGGCATAATATCTACGATTAGATTCAGAAAAGCACAGGCCTCGGGCAATTTTCCGTGGGTTGATAACCCACAGCACAAGGTATTCTACCCAATAAGGCCTTTATCATATATGTATATGTGTAAATACAGGTACCATATATATATTTTATATGTATATATATGGATTCATTTGGTTCTTTTTGTTCTAGCTCGAGCTGGATGATTAAATATTATCCTGTACAGTTCCCTTCATTAAAAATAGTAATTCTACTTTTCTCTCTCTCCCTCTCTTGCCCACACATACTTCAACTCACTCACGACAACGATTATGGGAAAATACTAAGAAGGCATTTGTGCAAATTTCCTGCAAAAAGTGAAGTTATTTTTTGGAAAATAGTGCTTCTAAACTTTTTGAAGTGTTAGGAGCTGTTTTTCACCCCAAAAGTTCTTCTTCCACTTACAAATTTAAAAAGTAAAAGAATTAAACTATTCAAACACATTTCCGACTTCCAAAAACTCTTCTTTTTTTTTTTCAAAAAGTTGTTCAACATGTTGTTCAAACAGCTCATAAGTGATGTAAAATGTTAGAAAAGGCGCAGCATCCTCGAGCCCTGAGGCATTCTCTCTGTAATTGGTACTGATGGACTGAGAATAAGCCTTCTCCAATAACAAGTAACTCAAACTCCAAAAATAGAAGCAAATAGGTAGGAGGGGGAAAAAGAAGAGAAGATAACATGTGTTCCGGGTCCAAATAGCCAAAGATAATGATATAAATGGCCAAATCTGTAGCATCTATCGGCACAGAGACAATAGGAGACAATTAAAAAAGCCAAGAGCTCATACCAGACTGAGAGCTGTAGTCCCTAGAAGCAGCAGGTACAATTTTCCCTGAAAGTTGCAAGTATACATTTATCCGTCAAACAAAAGGACTCCTTTCAGATAGAAGTGCTGGGAAGCAAACTGGGAAACCAATGAATGGGAGGCAGTAAATATGATGCAGTGTGAGTTCTCATTTTATCCCATTTTTACAGTTGGATAGCAATCAGAAAATCCTATCACATAGAGAACAGTAGTATCAATTACCTCAACAAGATGGAGATTAGAAGCACGACTGAGCAGCACAAAAGCGAATTCTCCTATTTGTGCTAGAGACATACCAACCTACAAAATGTCAGTCTCCTTAGTTAACAAGATTTAGTTATCCAGCAAAAAGGTAAACTCAATACAGCAGCGGAGTCATACTAGCAGTGAAGTTTTGTTGTTGTAGCCAAAGGCCTTAACAACTGCAGAAGTCACAGCAGTTTTCACAATGACCACTAGTATCACTGATGCCAGTAGGATATCTACATGGTTCCAGAGGAAATGGACATGGATGAGCATCCCAATACTGGCGAGAAAAAGAGCTGCAAAGAAATTGCGTATGGGTTCAACCTGCACCAAAATAAACCTTAACCAAATGTATCCAGCAGAGAATGGCAGAAACGTTACAAGTCTTGTCTCTGCACTAGAATGAACAACAAGAGGATCGAGTCGTTTTCTTGTTTAAGTGGACCAATTACGTCCATACATACCAGACCTTTCACTTCTTTTTGATGAATACACACCAACCTTTTACTAAATCTGACAAGTTCAATCTTTAGCACTTTAATTTCATTAATAGGATTAAGGGAACAGAAATCCCCATTTGCAGGGTCACTTGCCCACCAAACACATTCAAAAATATCAGAAAAAGGCAGGCCATAAACCGGAAGCTATTTTGGACCCAGAACTCAAAATACATTGCAGATTTGATGATGATAGTCGTGACTGTAATGTCTCCTTACTTATCAGAAGAAAAGTGGATTTGTATTCTAACTAAATACTCTGATTACTTTCCCAATGTATTCTCATAAGGAGGCACATAAGAATCATTCTTGATCCCATTAATGGTCCAGACCATGAATAGATGGTATTTTAACTTGGTGAACTTAATTAAATCAGTCCTATTTTACCTCCAAAATATAACTATAATTGATTACAAAGTTACACATTTGGATGCAGTCCTTTTATTGTTTTATTTGTAAGTTAAGTGAATCAAATTTTTACTCCACAAAGGTACAATATTCATGACCTTGAATGTTACCATCTTCAAACAAATAAAATGTCTATCACATCAATTGATGACAAATAGAACAAACTGCAGGTAGCTTAGCGTTGCAACCAATCTTAAAAACCTAAGTGTTTCCATCCCATCCCATCCCATCCCATCCCATCCCAACTTGATCATTATAAACTATGCTTGGAACTATTTAGCACGCAGAGCGAATGAAGTTTTGGTCAAAAAACAGAATTTACAAACAAGATTGTTTTTGATCAACTTGAAATCATGGTCTACACAGATCGATCATCTTGAACGCTAAACAAGAAAAATCAGTTCTCAGAATGTCAGAATAATTATCAAATCTTAACCAATAACTGTCCCTTAACAATACAACATTGCTTCAGAAAGGATAAATATATGAATTACCTTAAGTAAAAACCCACAAAAACCAATATAGCACTATTACAACTTTATTCTTTCAGGCGTACCAATAAAAGCACAATTGAAGTTTATCTTTGCATTAGTAATTCAATACCAGGCAATACATGTCTTCATCAGCAATATCAAACATGTATAAGATTCTATTCAAATATCAGATAGGCCTAATGATTTTATTTACTAATGCCTATTGACACCATGATGCTTCTTGTCCCTATGTTTATAATGACTAAACAAATATCATAATGAAGTCGTTTTTTATGAGAAATACCAAAATGAAGTCTTACTTGTTCAAGAGTATGTTGGGCAAGATCAGTTGTTGAAATCATCGCTCCAGCAGCAAATGAACCCAACTCTAAGCTTAGACCTAGCTTGTCACTGCACTGAAATTGTACAAACAATAAGAAAAGACAGTTATTGATAAGATATACAACAAAAGAATTGGTTCTCAGCATGCACCAACAAAAAGAAAACATTCAACATGCATCTCTCTGAATAAAAATGCAAGAATTCAATTAATATGCACTATAAAGGAAATTCTCTTAAAGCACAGATTAGTAAACTTGATGAAGTGATTGGAACAAAATAGCAAATGGAATTAGGAAAATTAGCAGGCCAAGCATGACCAAGCTGTTCTGAGCTCTTCTTGACTGCAGCACAGTTCAGGAGCTGTTTGTGAAGAACTCAAGAGTTCAGCACTAAGATTATATTGGCTATATGAACATATATCTGTGAAGAACTTTCAAAAAATGTTTCTATTCAAAAATGATAACAAAAAAAGAATGTATCTAACATTACAGATATGTTGAGCAGGACATAATTAATTTTAAACTCCAATTTCAAAAGTCCAAGTCATGAATCTTTCTACCAGGGGATATAGAGAGAGGTCTGGTCAACAGGAAGTAATGCATAACCAGAAAGCAGAAAGAAAAGACAATCCAAATGCATATTCTATTATAGAAGTTCAAAAAAGCTTAGTGACAAGAAGAATAACCAACCCAGGCTACAAGGAGGCAAAATGCCACTGAAGCCAATTGATAAAGTTCATTGGTCTGCAAAAAGAAAAGGACATAATTAAATTTTCAGATAAATCATAAGTATCTGTCACCAATGCCCACAAATCGTCATGAAGAACTCATGAGAACTAAGAAAATCAATATCAATGGTTCAGTTGAAAAGCTTTCAGTGCCAACATAATAATGGATAGAGCATATGATAAGTGCTTTCGGCGCCAACTTAATAATGCGTAAACTAAGTGCACCTCGTATTTTGTGGAGTATATTAACACTCAATATTTAGAATTGAGACTTAGTAGATTGATCATTGATTCTCGATACTTAATTATGTATGTACTACCGTATGGTAACAGACAGTATTGGAGAATAACTTCCATATTATTGCAAGAACCAACAGGTATAAATACATGTATATAGCGTTCCAACTATGGAGAGAATCAAAAAAGGAAACCTTCAAAATCTTCTATGAATCCCTATAAATATGCTATCTATAACACTCCTCAAGCTGAAGCGTAGATATTGATCATGCTCAGCTTGTTATAAAGGTAGTCAACTCGATTTCCAATAAATGCCTTTCGTGAACAAATCGATTAATTGTTGTCTCGTCTTCATGTAGCCAGTGGAAATCTAAGTTTTTCTGAATCTTTTTACGAATAAAATGACAGTCAGTGTTGCTGGTGGGAGGTGACAAGTATCCCGTGGAATTAGTCGAGGTGCGCACAAGCTGGCCCGGACACCACGGTTATCAAAAAAAAAAATGACAGTCAGCCTCAATATGTTTAATTCTTTTACAATACACCGGATTTGAGGCAATATGAATAGCAGCTTGATTATCACAACGGAGCTTTGCTTAAAAGATGATTTATCCACATAATCTCACACGTAGACTGTGCCATAGCTCTATTCTCGAATTCTGCACTGGACCGTAATACAACATTTCTTTTCTTATTTCTCCATGAAACCAAGTTTCCACCAACAAAGACACAATAGTCGGTAGTAGACCTTCTATCAATCTTAGAGCCAGCCCAACCCACATCTGCAAAACACTCAATGTGAGAACTAGGCCACCCTTGGGTGCTAGATTTTCTGGCTCGCTTGACTCATCTTGGTTTTCTTAATTAGTTTCAAACTCATGTAAGTTTTCCCACTTTGAATTAGAGAGGAGTGGGAGGAGGGAGGCGCGGTGTTGAAAGTCAAGGTTGGCACCCCACCATATAAATGGGTCAAACCACTCTATTTTCTAGAGTATGTTCGTAATTCTTTATGTTCTACAGAATATCCATACTTATAAATAGGTTGTAGGTGTATTTTGTAAGAATTGCGTTAAGATCAGTCAACTAGTTCTCTCTAATTCTTGCTTTGATCTACTGGTAAAAGCGCAGCGCGTGATCTGTGAGTTAGTTGCACGTTACAGTTTCGACCCCTATCACCGACAAATGCATGGTGGTATTTAAGTGAAGAAAGGTAGACGTGTGGGCCCATTATCCATCGAGTTTCGAACTGTATGCCATATGCCACCGACCCTCAGGGATTTCTTGGTTATAACAACTACTACTACTACTGCACCTCAATGCCAAACAAGTTGGGTTGGCTATATGAATCCTCTCCTCCACAAATCTCAGAAAGTGCTATTGGTTAACAAATGTAATTTTTTTAGTTAGGAAGTTCATACCTGTGATGATAAGCTTATCATCAGCTTCAGGAACCATGGCACACATGTCCGTGATAATATTGACAAAATAGCCAAAAATGAGAGCAACACGACCAACCTGGCTGATAGATGAATCAGTATAATGCAACAAATAAGTAGGATTGGTGCAAAAATAACGACAAGCAAGAGTCTCAAACAATTTAAAGCACCAAAATTCCAGCAGTACTCCCTTAGCATCTACTTTCAGACCTTCCACATTTCCCAGAATTTGCATTATGGAGGACAAACAAATAATGCGGTACTATGCCACTATAGGTAGTAAGTACAGTATATGCCAACTATGCAATATATTAGGACCACCATAATACAATATCATTTGAGTTACTTCGGTGTCTATTACAATACCATAAAGAACTGAGGCGCATGGAAACTGACATTTCTGCTGCAACGCAATCATTCCAACAAGAAATGTAAATTTTAGTAACAGAAAGTAATTTTTGGAAGGTCATCCCAATTAAAAGTAAATTTCTCCTTAACAAAAGTGCCAAAATCAGTCCTCTTTACAAAAGAACAATCAATAAGTATGCCATACTACAGACTCGCCATGCAGAATATTTAGAGATCGCCCTCATTTAAGCAGCTAGCGACAGTCTAAAAGTATTGCTACTTAGCATAAGAGTATGAAAAAGTAAAGGGTACTAAAGTTACAGATTTTAGAGCTAAATACACAGATATAGAAGTGTCTTGTTCTCAGCAGGGCCACTTTTAATTGCTCTGCACCATATTTGAATTATATCAGCTGTCTCACAAGACAGGATTATATGCAAGAATCATTACGAAGGTTAAGTATTATTACATGGCTCACAAGAATCAATGCAACACCCCTTGATAAAAAGAAAAAAAGAAAAGAATCAATGCTACAAACCCTCAGGGGTTGGTCTGGTGGCAATTGACTTGAGCCTTGGGGTTTGCTCCCTTTCAAGGTCTCAAGTTCGAAACCCACTGGGTGCAAACAATTTCTGAGGGCCATCGGACTGGGTAAAACCTGAATTAACCGTGGTGCACTTGCGGGAAACTCCTTGCCGAGGGCCTGTGCACCACCGGAATTAGTCGGGGCTCAAAGAGACTTGGACACCCGGTGCAAATCAAAAAAAAGAATCAATGCTACACTCCCAACACCCCACCCCCCCAACCCCAACCCCAACCCCAAGGAATTTAGGTGAAATTTTGCAATAATCATGTAGGATCATATTTATGATATACCTTCCCACAGGTGTTCGGTTGATGATTTACTATTTCTGCTCCATCATAACATATATATGTCTTTCACATTTGACCCAATTAAAAATCTTCTTGCATAACCTATGGTAGGGATATGACCATCAACCATCCACCCATCAATTTCTAACTTCCATTAATCTTTATTGAGAAGACTCTCGTGAAAACTGATCTTCTTTAGTATGTTCATCTGCGGAAAAGAGAATTCTCACTTACATTAAATTAAAAGGTTGCTAGACTCTGATATTGACTATACATGCATATCTATGTCATCATCATTTAGATGGACAAGTGCAGCTTCCTTGCCTTGCAAATTATAAAGTATCAGCAGGCACTAACTTGTTCACCGCTTTCAATAACTTCTTTGGGTATCCAGCTTTCATTGTGAATAATTTAATTGGGCCTCTATCTTCAACATACCTGGTTTTTAAAAAGAACAATCCACCTTCCCTCCTCAAGTGACTTAGTCATACAGACTTAAGACTCAACTCATCGTAAGTTAGTTACGACATTCTAGAGGGCCAAATGAACTCCTAAGAACTTAAAACCTAAATTCAGAACTCAAGCGCAAGCGTCCCTGCAACATCCCGGTTGGGAAAGATCAGGATAAAAGAAATCAACGGTCAGATTGTTAAATCTACAAAACTGAACAGATGCCTCTAGGCAAGATCTGGTTAAAAAGTATGCTAAACATACAAGACATGATAGCATAGAACGGACATTTTTCATGCAGCAAATGAGCTCTGAAAAGAGGTCAGTTGCAAGATTGATCAGCTTCTAACACAATAAAAGCCTATCTTTAGTTCTCAAGAGACAGAGCCTAAAATATGTTCGAGAACACTCTTTCCTTCCTTAAGAAGATTCCAAACCGAGGGAAAGCAAACAGAAATCAACTAGTTCTTACAAATATAGCTGACCTGCACCAAAGCATATACAGAGAGGGAATAAGAAGTGGTTCAAGAAGTCAAGTATGCAAACTTACGACTTCGTCATCGATATTAACCCTTGCAGAAAATTGGAAGTGCCTCCCAAGATTGGAAGCAAAGCAAAGAGCAGACCTACAGCACAATCCTGAAAGAATGAGAAAGCACCTGGAATTTAGACATGACATTACTGTTCATTCAAGGGAAGGAAGAGTATGAACTTACTATGATCTATTCTTATGTGGTAATATCTTATGGGTGAGATAAATAATAGCTGCACCAGGCTCCACGGATTAAATGTTTAGCAAGTATTACTCTTGTGCTGATGAAAATAGTGGTGAGAAAATATTCTCTTTGTTCATTCTCAAAAAAGAAAAATCATTTTGTGACCTTTGAATTGGCCGCACGCCATTTAGACTTCTATTCAACAATATTCAACTAGTTGCTCTTGCATACGGTAAAGAAAGAAGGACGTGCAGAAGATAAATCGGAGGACGAAGCACCTGCAAAATAAGTGTGCCAATTGTAACCTGGCCATGAAGGGCATTTGTACTATTCTTTTCCATCAAAAACTTCAACACCTATGGCAAAGAAAAAAGTCAGTTACCGTCAGAACCTTCAGAGTCCACAATACCCGAAAGAAAATGCAAACTGGATATCAACAAGCTTACCACTGCTGTAGAAGACATTGAGAGAAATGCTCCAACAAATACACCCTCTGAAGATTTACCGCCACACAACTACAAAATCATCAAGTTGCATAAGTTCATATTTTTATGAATGAGGAAAAACTTTTGGCATGCACTAAAGGATGAGACATAGTACTAGCTTGGAGCAACTTTCTCCTACCATACAATATGTATAGGTGGCAAAATAATTAACAAGCATGACTTAGTCACATGAGCATATACATCTTTCTTATGATCAACAATTTAACTCAGCTGAGCTATTAAGCATAAAATGAGGTAAAGTGGAAAATTATACGGTCTTCTTTTGGTAAGTGGAGAACTTCTACGTTTTAATTGGCTATACGCATAAAATGAGATAAAGTGGAAAACTTCTACGTTTAAATTGACTATATTGGATACATTGTCTGTTACTAAAATATAGAAAGCTAATTATACTAGTTATGTAATTAAACAGAATCAAACTTTTTCCCCATTAAAAATTTACCAAGAGCTTTCACCTTTATAAGATAACTACAGCATTTGATGCTTTTAGTATGTATTTATACCATTTCATCGGAGTTTGCACTCATTCAGAGGCAACCAGCATAAGACTATTAGTCTTCTCCTAGCTCTGCAATTCAGTGTAGCAGTATAGCCAACAAGTCAAATTTGAACGGAAGAACAATCCATTCCCATTGAGCAGGAAAGTTTCATCAATTGACTCTTGAGCTAAGTCACTAGTAGCTATTGTTACTATAGGAAGCTAATTCCACCAGACACCATCCTCATTTCTCCTCAGGCTTTTTTTTAAGACCCTCAGATACAACACATATTAAAACTATTTTTTTCTAATTAAAATAGCTGGTAACTGTCAATGCATAGCAACAAAGCAGTCATCAGAATGACAGTTTTTCAACAACTAATAAGAAATGAAGCACACATAGTTACATAAAACCAGACAGCATAAAACAAGTAAATTTTAGACCTACCGAAGCTGTAATTCCACAGAGACACATAAAAAGCATAACTTGAAGCAGTCCTCCAAGAACTGCAACTGCTCGAACAACACGAAGCTAGATGACATAAAATATCAGTGTTACCCACAGTTTGTATAACATAATCAATAATGACTCCATAATTACATCAAGAAAAATGACAATTTTGACATTAGCCAACCTTTGCTGTTGAGAACTCCAGCCCCAAAGCAAAAAGAAGAAAAATTACACCGAACTGAGCCACTGTCTCAACCTATATGCAGAAACAGGTTAAAAGTGTCACAAAGCTTGATAAATGAATTAAAAGCAAAAAAAAAAAAAACACTAAGTTTATTATTGCCAGATAACTTTCTTTAACAATTTCCAAACAGCATTATATTTTTCTTAATTGCAAATACAAAACCAGTAAGTTGAAATGTTACTGGGAACTTGCATGTCTCCATCATTTTCCATTTTCCAAAAATGTCATTTAGAACCCATATGCTCTATTAAGCTTATCAAATTGAGATTCTCACTTAAGCTGGTCTAAACTTGTGAAAGTAGGTCATTTCACATTTCTTATCAAGCAACTGATCAGGAAAACGTCCTTTTCAAGTATTACAAGCTCAGCTGGAACCTTTTGGACCATGGGAAACAACAATTGCACTGTATTAGGTGAAGAAAATAAGCAACTCATAATATCATTTTGTCAAAGCTACATACTTGCACCATTTCACTAACAAGTTTGAAGCCTCCAGGTCCAACGACAGATCCTGCTAGTAAGTATCCAGTTATAACCTGAGAAATTATGAACTAAGAATTAGAAACTTGAAGGCCTTCAAACTACCGAAGAAAACACCTATTGTACACTATTGAATGGAGAAAAAATCAGTCATGTTCTTTTATCAGTAATGAAAAGAACTCAGTTAAAGATAAGTGATCCAACCGGTTGACCAGCACAAGCAAAAGCAATTCCACCACATGTTGCAGAAACAATGACCACTACCAGATCTGATATCAACCTAAACATTAGACATTTCAAGCAGCAGTGAGCCATATAAATGCTTGTCATCATCCATATGAATGCAGAAAGCTTACCTCAAATCTAACTGTAACACTGGATACTTGGACTTGAAATTAGATATGATGAAGACATTGTCCTGAATAACCAAAATATCAAGCATTATGTTCCATCAATATGGATCTTTATTTTCCAAACCATACCCAGCCGATCAACTCATGCGCTGAAGCAAAATAAGTCACCACTAAAAGCTTACCTTCCTATCTATCAAAGTTGGGGTTTCTTCTGCTCCTTGATCATTATCAAGCTTGAAAACATGATGAAGTTGAAAGGATCTACAAAGTAATAGTACAAAACATGTAAATCAAGAACCAAGAAGGAGCTAAATACTGTAGAAAGTTAATCCGTGAAATTGTATGAAGCATATACTTGTCCTCTTTCTTTGTGTCATTTTTCTTGGGCTTAACTCTCGCCACAGTCTCCAACACTGCCTGGAAAAGAAAGGAATATTACATTGAAACAACAGATATTCAAGTAGCCTATAAGCGAGTAAAGAACATCAGTATAATGGTATAATGGTTATGAAAAAGAAAAACAAATCAGAATGACAGTCAATGTATAAGCACAACTTAAATACATACCCACTTATTACTAGGTCAACTAGAAATATGTTACAAGTTAAAAACCAGTAACTGTACCTCAGCAAAATAAAACTGAGAAATGAAACTTATATACCTGACTATAAACAGCGGAAAACACATCATTAAGTTGTTACAAGTTATAAGATAAATATTAGTTTTCCTTCTCAGAACCGACAGAGGACGAACCATATTAACAGAAATAAATGGAGAAGCATAATGGAACGGCTACCTCCCAGGCACTTACTAATGGAGATCGGATGGTATCAAAACCAAGAACAAGTTTGTTTACTGATGCATTATGCTATTTCATTTATCCAATATATCAGTCTTAAATTTACTCCCTTTATCATAGGAAATTCTTTAACTTTTTTTATAAAGGTGGTGTCCCACCGACTACTTGTATCTTTTCACTAGTACAGGTACGTGGTAACTTTGCCACAAAAGGTTCAGCTGATGGGAATAAGTGACCTTCTTTAACTGAATGAGTACACATAGCAAATCAAACTAATAAAAATCACATTAATTAGGAAGACCATGAACAAAAAAAATCACTAGGAAGAGGAGAGATAATGTAAGATGTAACACACCTGCTGCTCGGCCACACTATTATTGAAGCTGCCCGCATCATTAACTGCCAATTAAATAGGGAAAGAAATATGGCGATATCAGTTAGTAACTCATCATTTTTCTACTTTACCAACCTTCTGAAATTGCATATGATACTACAAAAGCACTACTTTATACATACTAATTTTTTCAATAAATACAACCATCAATGAAACTATAAATCAATCACATTAAATCCTTCAGTCAAGAGAATCTTTAGTAAGATTATTGATTTATTTAAAAATAAACAGTTTTAACGCATATCTCCAGTTGCCAATTCAACTGACCAAATTATGATATTTCTTTTTTGTACAACTCTATGAGCAACATAATAAACCGAAATATAATATGAGCTGTGAGGAGTTAAGATCTAGTGGAAATAAACCTTCGGTTTGATCATTTTCAGTGAACTCTTTTTCGAGAGCCCGATCGATCATATCAGCAAAACTATCCTCTTTAGGACTACTTCGAGGTCCACTGCTCAATTCACTAGCATTGCCGCTACTACTTCCTCCTCCATCGAGCTGCTGATCTGATTCGGGAAGCGCAAATGCAAGTGCTAATACAGAAACAAAAGCGATACAAAGCAGCAATAGAGTAATTGCTGAAACTGTTGACAGCTTTGCCAAAAAGGATGTTAAAGGCGAGGATGATCTCCTCTGACTCCGAGCACTCATTGCACGGCGGCGACGGCGACGGGGGATAGTAGCGTCGGTTTGTCGGTTTTGACAGGTTGTACAAACTCTACTCAGTAGCAGAAGATGCTTAGTACTACACTGTACATTGTGTGTATTTATATATATATATATATATATATTATATATGGAACACACACTGACACACGCGTACTGTGTGTTGAAATGCGAGAGAAGAGGGACAGAGATTGAATTTTTGTAGTTGTAGACTTGTAGGAATAGACACTTGTAGGATAAGTTAAAAAGTAACCATGGTTAGATTTTAACTAGAGATATGAGGACTCACAGACACTAGTCTCTGGTCATTGGGTTATAGTTGTATTACTGGACAAAAATAAAAGATTGAATGATATGACTTAGTGAGAGTGATTAAAGACAGTTGAGGGATGTTTGTCACTTGACCATGTGTTACATGCTAAATAAATAAGGGAATTAAAAGTAAAAGGAGAAGAAGATTGCAATTTGGCGATACTTCAGTATTATAAAGCCAAAAAAAAGACAGAGAAGAAATTCAAATTATGTATCAGACATGATAGGAGAGGGTATTCAGAATTTTAAGAGTATAGGTGCACTATCATATCTTTAGTTATCAAGCCAAAAATAAAGGTGTTACTTTGAATTTGTATTCTCTCTACTAGTTTGTGTTTGAGTGATTCTATATTTGCATTTATCGACATGTGCAAATATATGATAATATTTCTCTATTAGTTGGAAGACAAAAGAAAGTATGCGTAACCAACAATAGTCCGACAAAAGAAAAAGTGAAAAAAAAGATTTGAGAATGTAAACTAATAAGTTTATCCAATGAACTCTTAATCAATCCCCTAATAGATTTATGATTATTTAGATCAAGTAATAAGACTGAAGGTGTAAATTTGGAGTTTATGCAATGGATTCTCAACCAATCCCTATTAGTTTTGACAAATAATTTGGGTAGAAAAATAAAAATATGAACTTGAATTCGAGGCAATAATATATATATTTTTTATTGTTAAGACAACTTCATTTTAAAATCAAGTTCTATTTTTTATGTCTATATTATTTTATTCGATGTTTTTGTGATTTTATCGTTGGTTACTTTTATTAATCAACTTATCTAAACTAGAAAAATGACCTTGAGGAACTTGGATGATTTGACTTCTTCTATAATCTTCCATTTGAATATTTATCCTAGACCTTGAAGTAGTTTAAACCTACACAATATTCAAATCACCTATCGCCAACTTCCGCATGCTAGCCATTCATTGTCAAATTAGGTGAAATTTCTCATGACATATTAAAGTTATTGACTAAGTTTATCAGGCTAATAAATATGAGATGAAGGTTCTATTGATACATTAAGCTATTGACCAAGCTTGATAAATTTAAGTCTATACCTAACTACTCTCATTTAGGCTACTATAATTTGTATGACTGATGCAAAATGCTAACCTATCCAAGTTAACCAAATAACGGAAGATATTGTATCCCCCAAGACCAAGAGATGCAGCATTTGTTTTTTGGTTTTTTGGTCAATTTTTTAAGGTACTGACCGAGATCAAATATCCACGGTCAATCTTCTTAAAGATGCTAATAGTAATAAATACTGTAGTACTATAGGACAAGCTAACAGAAGACAGTGAACACAGGTTTACATTCAAGTCATTACTAGCTCAAGTCATGGCTTACAAGACTTATTTTTTACTGCCTAGGACAGTGAACTCACCCTAATAAGGAGATGGTTTGTTGTTGTTACATTTTTCCAGTGGATTTTGGGGTTGTCTTTGGAAAGAACACGGTTTAGGAATAACAACGAGTGTAGAGCTGTGTCAATCAACGATAAGCAATAAGTCACAAACAGATTCCAATCTGCTACCAAGAGTTGAGCCATAACTTGAATCATGCTCCTCCTTTACATATACCACATCCTGATGCGTTGAAGATTACAAGTTGCATGAGTGAGTTCATACATGAACTAGCAACATAGGAATATATAATTTACATTCTTAGCTAAATGCATTAAGGTGCACAAATCTTAACATTCTCGCTTTTCCCTTCTCCTGCATCCCAGTAGCATATACTACACGCAACCACTATCAACGGAAATTATTCTCTCTTCTTAGAAACACAAACGAAAACAGTTTAAATTTCAGGCCTTTCAAAGTAGCCCAAAGGACATTCACCTACTATGCTTTTCCAGCTGGTAAACTTTTCATGTCTATAAGGGATTTCTCAGAGAGATTTATGATTGAATCAGCAATAACTCTGGCACTGGATTTCATGTAACCGCCTGAAAATGTAATTAAAAAGACCTGTTATTGGTAACATATGGCACAAGAAGTCCGCCAAAATGATTCAATGACTAGGCAGCAATAGAGAACAGGGGATAGGTTGAACCTGATGTGAGCATGATGAGGGGGATGTTTCTCTCTCTAGCAAACCTGAAAACCTTTTCGTCCCTACTAGCAATGCCATCAGGACTGATCTGCACGGGCACATATGCAATTAATAAAAATAGCAACAAACGATTTTGGCATAAACTCATATACCCCTCTCTTTTAATTTGGCAATAGAAAGGGCTGCCGTTTATTTGTAACAAAACTGGCAGTACATGCTTACTGAAACTAAAACTGCTTCAATCAAACCAAATCTTTAGTATTGCCAGAATTCGAGGCATGCCCATTAATTTTGGCTATTTGAAGGATTTGAGCAAAGAGAGAAGCATGATTGATATTTTACCTTTCTCTGGCTAAGTTCAAAGACACAAATCCTTTAGGCCCAAGCCTATACACAGAGGCTGGAGCAAATATCAATCATACTTCATAAGACACAATTTTTATTACGAGATGTACAAAAATGTTACCACAATTTAATTATTTTACTTACTAAAATTTAAAATCATTTAAATAATCAAATAAACATCAATGTGATGACTTCTCCACCAAGCTAATATTCACCAATTTCTCAACTATTTTCCTCACCACTTGTACACAAGTCAAACAAAAACAGTGTTTTAAAAGGCGTTTTCAAGACGAGCCCTGGGGCGAGGCGCACCAAAAATGCCCCGAGGCGATGGTGTAAGGCGAAAGTCTCAAGAGGCGTACGCCCAGCAATTCGGGGCGTATGTCAGGGCGTTGAGGCGCATTTTTGTAGTGAGTAGTAAGCCCCAGAGACTTTAAAACAAAATTTGCAGAATAAGTTCTTCATATAATACCCAAATTCTCAAAAGTGAGCTTGTAATTACTCAAAAGTTTAAAAAAGAACTGAAACATTAAATTTAAAAGTCAAGACTTTTTTTATTGATATAAGCCCTAATTTATATTCTTCTTCAATTATTTATCTTGTCCGCTAGTCTGCTACTATCTCCCAAAAGCAACGAACAATCATTTTTTTTTTTGCAAATACAAAGAGAACTTCATTGTCCTTCATAGTAACAAGTTCAAAGTTCAAATTGTAGGTTAGTCATCCTTTTTGTTCATCCAAGTATAAAACTTAATTCTTTTCAACTCAAGTAACCTGTGCTTGTAAGTAGCGTATTTGACTAGTTTTTTTGTGGGGATGGAGCACATCTATATAAATTCTTCACATATTTATAGTTTTCTTCAATTTGTATGCAATTTTACCTATTTATAAATATTTTACTGTAATTATATTATTTTATGAAATATTAAAAATTAAATACTCATGGGGCTTATGCCCTATGCCTCGCTAAGGCATATGTAAAACGCCTCGCCTTACGTCCACGCCTTTTAAAGAACAAAAATTTAAAGTTACATGTCCAGTAATAGTATCACGTAAAATTAGATAGAGCGAATGTAACAAGTCTACTGCATGTACGTTACATAATTTAGTTATCGATAAAATTGTGCCTAATGCTTGGAACAGAGTTGGGATATTTCGTATCTTCATCCTACCTTTCAAGCCAAAAACATGTATTTGATTTTTAAAAAGAAAAAGATTACTTTCTTACATCCCAAATTTTATAATTATTTGCTTGTTTGCTTATGACAAATACTCCTCCAGTTAGCCGTATAAAGAATGTTAAAATATTTATAAGCTTGTAGTAATTAAAACACATAGAGTTCCATCTTGTGTGTGGTTTGCCACAGAAAGAAGCACAATCTTCTGTCAGACATGCAACCCATATATAGCTTGTTTCCAGTTTGTGGGTCTTACCTTCAACCTGCCAAGTGGATCCCCATCCAAAATATCAGTGCCAGCATTATAGACAACAAAATCGGGATCAAATTTCTTCTCTGCAACCTGGAAGTCCATTAGGATAACAATCAATCATGTATTACAAGGGTAAATCAACACAATAATCGAGAACTCACTAGGAATATATGTGTTTGAATGTTTCCGATAAATAAAGAAAGCATAGAAGAATCAGAAGACACTGACACATTAGTTCTTTTAAGTCAAATGATTTCATGACAACAAAGATGTAAACACTTTACAGAAGTCTGGTTGCAAAGCTCCAAAGATATTGATCCCTCTAGCCTCTACACAACAGGGAATATCCTTCTTACACAAAAAATATTATAGGAACAAAAGGGAGCTTTTAACTCTTCACAGTGCATTTTCGATTTCTTCAAAAGTTCCTGTGTTCCTTTTACTCCATCTCAACCAAAAAGCACAAGGAAGAGCTCCTCTCCACAAGCCTTCTTCCTAGATAATTCTAGGTAACTTCATTAACACTAGATATTAACAGAAAGTCGTCATGGTTTTTCTAGGACTGAATTCTAGAATTTGTGCCAGGAGCAATGGTCATAACCAAGGCTAAATCAGTTCCTCACGCAATCAAATCATTAAAAAAATAAAGATGTTAGTGACAATGTTGACATAATCTGCAACTTCACTAGTGAAATATTTGCAGCAATCCTACCTGTAGCCATCTAACAAATGAACATACGGAACTTTTGCACTGATCAGAACATACGGAAGATAGTAGTAAACGCAGAATGGAGGACTTGAATTCAAATAAAGTTGAAAAGTTACATCACTTTTCTTGTATCAGCATCAGAGGAAATCCATTGATCTTTTGCAGAACATATATTCCTCACTCCTTATTTAGAGAAGGCAATAAAACTAATAGCTGCAGAGTTCTCATGACGACTTAGAATTAAACAATAACCACTATGTGGTAGACATGCTTTGACAGGTCACCAGCACATAGGCACAAAAAGGTGACACAAGAGTATAACTTGCAATAATGAGATACTATTAAGGGAAAAAATGTGTGGAAAGTGGTGAGAAGAAGTTCAATTACATACCTCAAGTGCATGATCTAGCTTAGTCAAGTATTCATCTGTTGCAGTCCCACTCTGCCAAAGTTAAGGAAGCCACAGATGTCAGTGTAGTTCAAGTAAACAAATAACGTGTTCTATAAATTTGAATCTAACCTGAACTTCGACTCCTAGATCAATGTACCGCCTGGCTTCAAAATCCTAAAAAAATGATATAGATTCGCAACAGATCTGATCAGATACTGCTACCTTTTGATGCTATCAGCGCAATTAGAAGAGAATCAGAAATCAAAAGACAGAATTGATTCGGTCAGGGATGGGGGCACGGGGCATGTGAGGAACAAGGAAAGGAGAGGAAAGTAACAGCCCGCTCAACATGCAGCAGATTGTTCAAGATGGAAACTCACAAGTGGATAAATTCCAGGATTGTACATATCAAGGATAAAGACTCTTCCTGCCAGCACCCAACAATCACCAATTAATAACAGTTAAATGGCACAGAAATTTAAGATGAATGACGAGAAACATACTGTCCTCGGAGAAGTCCATTTCATGGCCATTTCCTTGGTGTGCATCAAGGTCGATTATCATGACTCTGTGCAAGAAAAAAGTTCATAAATGATTTCACTGAGATGCCATGACCTTTAACTGTACATAGTTACACATTATACATGAATTACCATTTGGTGTACCTTGAGATATTTAAATGCACAAATGCAAAATGTATACAAAGAGATATATCAGCATAAACACAAAAACCGCCTCCCCTCTCTGATGAACAATGATGAAATCCACCACCAACATTAATAGCCCATCCTCGTTCTTTTGCAAGCTTTGCAGCCACGATTGTTCCTCCCACCTACAAAGAATTATCAACAATTAGATCAAGTCCTACTTCATGTAATATTCATAGTGAATCCAATCTCCCACACGATAAGGGTTAGGTTTAGATTAATTAGCTTTGTGTTAATGTACCTAGAACTCTAACTCTTGTGTACTCTACTGTGTATATATTGATACATGTATGCTAACATGAGAAGCGTGAAGAAATAATACAAATAGATTTCTAGCATCTTTCTCCTATGTTAACATGGTATCAGAGCTACCATCGGACTCATCGTCCACATTGCTTCCACCACCAGTGGCGACCATCACCACCCAAGCCACCGTGAATTCCTTCACTCACAGCTCCACCCCAACACACTCATCACATGCAATTATTTCATATGCCACCACCTTCCAATTTATCCATTGCATCCATTTCACAATCATCTCCCCCTTCCATTGAACCTACTAGTTTTTCTGAGGCCAACAAACGCAAAGTATGGCATGATGCCATGGCCTTAGAGATGAACGCTCTTCTCCGCAATGGCACTTGGACATTGGTTCCCTTTTAACTCTTCCATAAATGTTTTAGGCAGCAAGTGGGTATTCCGGATTAAAAGAAACCCTTTACGTCAAGTTGAGCATTACAAAGCTCGTCTAGTCGCCAAAAGTTTCACCAACTTGAAGGACATGATTATTTTAAAACATTCAGTCCAGTAATGAAACCTTCCACCATCAGAGTGGTTGTTGCAATAGCTGTATCAAAATGTTGGCATCTGAAGCAACTGGATGTGCAAAACGCCTTTTTACATGGTCAGCTTCATGAACGTGTGTTTATGTCTCAACCAGGAGGCTTCACTCATCCCTTATATCCTAACCATGTCTGTCAACTCAGGAAGTCTCTCTATGGCCTTAAACAGGCCCCTCGTGCGTGGTATATGAGGCAACATCAATTTCTCGCGGCTATTGGGTTCTCTCCCTCGAAAACTGATACATCTTTATTTGTGTATCAAGCTGATGCAATAGTTGCTTACTTGCTCGTGTATGTTGACGACATAATTCTGACTGGCAGCCATCCATCCTTCTTTAGTTCTATTATCTCAAAGCTTGGTGATGAATTCTCCTTTTGTGACTTGGGCTCTTTAAGTTTCTTTCTGGGAGTAGAGGCCAAGCATACTGCCCACGGTCTCTGGCTCTCTCAACAGCAATACATTAGCAATCTGCTAACTAGGACTGGCATGCTCAAGTGCAAGCATGTTCGCACACCCATGGCACCTAATACAAAGCTACACACTGGGGATAGCTCTTTGTTTCATGATCTTAAGTTATATCGCATTATAGTTGGAGCCTTACTATGAACTCTCACTTGGCCGGATCTTGCATTTGCGGTGATTAAAGTTTACCAATTTTTGCACTCTCCAAGCTTAAATCAATGGGCTGCAGGTAAACGTATAATCGGATATCTCAAGCATACAATACCATCAGTTTGTCATTCTAGCCTCTCCAGGTCTGTCACTACAAGCATTCACTGATTCCGATTGGGCAGGTTCCTCGGATGATAGGAACTCGACTGGTGGCTATGCCATTTTTCTTTGAAGTCTCGTGGTCCTCTAAGAAACAACGGACAGTTGCTCGATCTTCCACTGAATCGGACTACAAGGCTCTTGCTGCTGCTGCTGAGCTCTCTTGGCTGCAATCTTTATTATTTTAACTGGGCATTCCACTTCCCACTCCTCCAGTCCTATAGTGTGATTATCTTGGTGCCGCTTATCTATCTATCAATCCAGTTTTCCATGCTTGCTCTAAGCATGTTGAGATTGATTATCATTTTGTCCGTGACAAAGTAGCTCGAAAGGATCTCTCAGTCCAGTTCCTGCCAACAAAAGACCAACTAGCTGATGTATTAACCAAGCCTCTTGCTTCTGCTAGATTTGAGCTACTTTGCTTCAAGCTGAATGTTGTTTCTCTACCTTCGGCTTGCAAGGGGAGTATTAGAGCAAGTCCTACTTCATGTAATATTCCTAGTGAATCCAATCTCCCACACTATAAGGGTTAGGTTTAGACTAGTTAGCTGTGTGTTAGAGTATAGTAGTGTACCTAGAACTCTAACCCTTGTGTACTCTACTGTGTATATAACTATATATTGATACATGTATGCTAACATGTGAAGCGTAAAGAAATAATACAAATAGATTTTAGCATCTTTCTCCTACGTTAACATCAACAAAATATGAACCAGAGAACTAGAAAAAAAGAAGATGATCTGTGAATAATTAATTTCACCTGCTTGCGGAAAGGGCGAAGCACTTTCTGCTGCACAAGGCAATTGGGAAGCATTGCAGCAGGAGGGACCTAAAAGGTCCAGGCATGAGATAATCAAGAGTATCAAAACAAGAAAACTAACTTTTCGAAAAACAGGTAGCTAGCAATGTCTTGGAAAATCTATGATGACACCACACGTCTGTTTACTTGTTCTTGTCATAGTAGTAAGATGGATCAACACCAGCAAACTTCAGCTCTGAGTCTTACCTCAACAATCTTGGAGACATTCAAGCTGCTATTCAAACTTTTCAAGTATGATTCTGAATGCACCTAGACCAGAAATGACAAAACATTAATCAGTCACCCTCAACATTGCCAGATACAAGGACAGTCCATAGGAATGCTTAGGTACAAGGACGGTCCATAAGAATGCTAGTCATACTGACTACAGCTAACAAATAAGTAGAGTTACAGCACCTAGATTGGAGAAAAGACCAAGAACATCCTAAAGTGACTAGTAAATTCTGTACATGCAAAAAAACTGGAACTCAGTGTGCTGTAATTCACCTAAATGAGATTGCAAATAGACCTCGACATTCAAGAACTCCTATATAATCAACGAGGAGCCCAATACTTGACTAAAAGATTTGCAGCACAAGGCTTAAGTATTATTGCTGACAGCACCTAGATCAGATAAAGAGCAACAATATCCTGTTTTGACAACAATATTGCAAATATATACAAAAATAGAACTAGATGTATTCTATGTCACCTTAATGAAATTCCAAATTGACCCTGGCATTTATGGACTCAAACATAGGCAATGCCTTAAAATGGTAGTTAAAAGATTTACAGCGAGGATCCTGAAGTAATTATTCCGACAAACGATCCTCAAAACTTAGATGTGTGAACTCAAATAACTGGTGGATGGGATCAGAATCTCATATATGAAAATGGTATCTGAGTTTAGCTGAATGGAGGTGATGATAACTTAGATTCAAAAAGTAATGACACCGTGTTCCTTAGAAAATATCAGGTCATCAAGTTGATTTTTTTTTTTTTTTTTTTTTTTTTTTTTTTTTTTTTTGAGATAGAAATTCATCAAGTTGATTAAAAAGTTGCAAGCGTGAAGAATACATAAATTTAAGGGAGATAAAGTGTAAGAGCATGTTTCAAATTGACTCAACTAATCATTTGAAAACAATATAAATGGATATAATAACTCAACAGATAACTAAGTTGATATCAGTAGAAGTTGCTACCACTAGCAGATCATCTTTTGTTGCCTCCACAGGCTCAACTATATGCTTTTGATCCACGATACCGTTCTTAGAGAGAAACCGGCAGATTCGACCCCATTTTGAAGCGTCAAATGGATGCCTGTGAAGTTAAATGCTTGAATGAGGCCTCCAGTTAAATTCAAACCTAGTTAAGGCAGTAGTTCTTTCAGAGAAAAAATAATATCTTTTTAGAGAGAAAATAAACAGACATGACCCTCAACAAAAAATTAACCAAATAGAAATTCAGCTCTGCAAACAAGGATACTTCACCTCAACAATACCAACAACACCAAACCCAGTGTAATCCCACAAGTGGGGTCTGGGGAAGGTAAAGTGTACACAGACCTTACCCCTACCCTACGAGGTTGTTTCCAGTAAACCCTTGGCTTAAGGAAACTAGTATACTTCACCTCAAGTGCAGCAAATGAAACGCATAGAAATGAGGCCCCTGCCATTTTGTCAATGAGCTATATTTTATATCCATGACCTTCATGACAAACGGGAAATTCAATAAAATTGGAATGAAATAGAGAAGATTGGCAAGGCCCTTGTGCAAGGATGAAATGCACAAATTGAAAATAATACAAACCTTTAATTGTAGCATCCCACAGCGGATAGTCAAAATAGAAAGGGGGTTCGTTGTAAAGCTTGCCTTAGGAAAATCCCACATGGGAATGAGAGGAAAAGTTATGGGCCATATAAGGCGAGAAATGGAATGCAACTCTCAGGACGTCCTTCGGGTAGAAGCCCAATGGGCCAAAACTGTTAGGCCCCAAATATTGGACCAAAGGGAACAAGGCCAAGGTTGTAACAAGTAGTATCACGAGCAATATCACTCCTAGTACGAGGGTGGGGCAAATATGAGCGAGGAAGTTGAGCTATAAGGAGTTGAATGTAACAACCTATGGATTTTTTTTTTATTTTTTTTTTAGGGGGGTGGGGATGTGTAGGGAATTCAATTTGAAGCTTGTCTCACATATCCCACATTGGAATAGGAGGAAAAAGTTAAGAGGCCAAGTAGGATCAGGAATCCAACTATTGAAGCGCCTTTTAGGTTAAAGCTCAAGGTAACAACACCATGAGCCACCAAAAGTTAGGCTAGAGTGGCTAATACGTCGGTAGTTGGGCCCGGGCCGTTACAATCTATTTTGAAATTAAAACTTAGTTATTGTTGTTATACGTACGTTAGTCCGGTGTTTGTTTATGAATATTTCTTTTCTTTTTTTGATAAGAAGTAAAGAACCCCTAATCTGTTTGTTTAGTATTGAATGGAATGGACTTAAGTAGCCGGAAGGAATGTATCTAGAATAGATATATGAATAGTGAGATGTTGTTCATTCAGATTGAATTGGACTATACCTCCATTATTTCATCTTCTTTATTTATCAACACTCCGTTCAACTTTTCACAATGTTTAAATTTTCTTCCAGTCATGTACATAGAAAAAGTTAGTTATCATCTTCCAATATCCACCACATTTGCATAATATAAAACATCCTATTTCATATTGTCATGATTTACCAGGAACAGATGCCAATTACTTCCAAACTCAATATCATTAAACTTATATCTTAAAATACAAAGCTAAGATAACCAGCTTTAGTACTTCTATTGCACTTCTAGAGTTTCACCAAATTTTTTCCGTCTAGAACTACATACCTTAGACCTGACCATTGCTAGAACTTTCCACGACAATAACTATGCATCCGTTTTTAGGTAGACATAAGGAATTTAGCAATCAAAAATTTTAAGGATTAAAATAAACTTATTTCGGCAATATCTTTCACCATTTGATCCTGCAATCAATTCCTTTTCTTTTTTTTTTCTCAAACAAATTTCACCCTGAATGTAGCATAGATTTGCAGCACTTACAGTTTCTCAATACCGAGAAAAGAAATGTCATAGGATGACGAGTATATCAACGGAACCTGATCAGGAAAAACAACAAAACTAAAATCCGAGAGATTCCTGTAAAACTCTTACTTTAAATTTTTAAATAAAAATTGAACTAAAAACGAACAAGTTTCAGTTATATACCTTAGAAGGAGGCACATCCAAATACAGCTTGCTAGAGAGAATACGATGCCGACGTAGAGCTTCGGCGTCGTCGGTTTTGGATGAAGATGCTGTCGACATTCGGAGAAGAGGGGAATTGCATAAAGTGAAACAATTGAGAAATTGAGCAACTTTAATGGCGATGACTTTGTTGAACTAATTTGAATTGAAGAAGAAGAAGACGAGAGAGATTGAGGTCAGAGAGAGAGGAAGGTTGACTCGGCTGAAATTGGCAGCAGTAGTATACTCAGAACTGAGAAGGGACTCGGAGCTTTGACACCTGGCATGAGTGGTTGAAGGAACTGGACTCAGCTCCGGAAAGGGAAAGAAAGTTAGACACGTGGCTTTCGTTATTAGCGTTGACTTACGTAAAATGGTCTTTTTAGGCGACTGTTTAAATTTTGTCTATTTTAAGAAGTTATGCATAGAGTCTTGGAATAATTATTCTTTTCGGATAACGTAAGACTCCGATTTAATATTTGCTCATAAAATTTTTAGTTTGCTCAGAAAATATTAAGTTGTTATGTGGTATGTGCAATAATTAGTAAAATTTAGATTGTAGTCTAATATTTTTTTGGAAAAAAATTCAGCTTAAGAATATTTAAATCATAATCTAAAAGGTTCATTAATTGCAAAAGAAACTAAGAGAAGATCATTTACTAAACAATTGATACAGAAAGAGATAACTGGAAATATTTTATTATCTTTTTTTTTTGATAATTAAATATTTTTGTATTAACCACCAATGCAAATATTTACAAAGCACTAGATCACCTCAACCTACTTCCAAACTGGAAAAATAACTCACTCTAACCTTCACAGCCTCCTAACCTCATCTATACAATTACTCTCACGAGCTAACTACTCAGTATTTACATTTTGTAAGGACACGAGTATAACCCTCAACTCTAATATTACACATGCAGACCACTCTCCTTGCACGGACATCCATGTTGTTGCTTGCTTCTCAAATATCCTTGCATTTCTCTCAATCCACAATGTGTGTGTATATTCTGCGTACACTAGTTTGAGTATCCTGGCCAGCTGAGATCGCCCCTTTGTTTTCATTACAATCCAGTGCTGCCAATCAGTCCACAATGTTGTAGATGGTTGTTGTATCTGTAACCATTGCATGAGTCTGGACCATAGGCTTCTACCAAATGTACATTCTGCAAATATATGATCTCTCATTTCTGGTGTTTGATTGCAAAAGCAGCATGTGTCTTCCACTTGTATTCCCTAGTTCTTCAATCTGTCAGCAATGAGCAATCTTCCTTGAACTTGTAGCCAAATTGAGAAGATTGCTTTTGGTTGTGCTTGATTCTGATACATTAAACCTTTCCATGAGACTTTAGCCAGTTTTTCTAACATTTGCAAGTAAACCTGTTTGATTACATTCCTTTGGTGAATTTGCCTATTGCTGATGACATCCAGATTACCCCTTGCTCCAAGTATTTTCCTGACCATCCATGATGCCTGCTTTGGTGCTCCAATGGTTGCAAAGACTTGATCCTTAATATAGTAGCTATGGATCCATTTGATCTAAAGCTTATCTTTCTTGTTTGTCAATTCCCAGTATATTTTTGTGATTGCAGCCTTATTCCATAGTGCCAAGTTGATCAAGTTAAGCCCCCCTGTTGCTTTAGGGAGAGCAAGATCCTGTCCCATACCACTAAAGCTTTTTTAGTAATTATATTCTCCCTTGACCACACATAGCTTCTACAGTAGGCATCAATTGCTTTGACAACTTTAGCTGGTATGATAAAGATTTGAACCCAATAAGCTTGAATACCAAAGATTACATGTTGCACCAATTGAATTTTGCCTGCATATGAGAGCTTCTTTGATGTCCAAGAGGATATCCTAGCCATTATTTTATCAACGAGTGGCTGCCATTGCATTACAGAGAGATTCTTTGTGTCAAGTGGTATGCCCAGATATCTGAAAGGGAGAGATCCTTGACTACATCCTAGTTTTTGCTGTATGTCATGTTTCACTTCTAAGCTGACCCCTCCATAGTAAATAAAGCTTTTGGCTAGGTTAGCTTTAAGACCTGATACTGCTAAAAAAATATTGAATCTGTCATGTAGTAATGTTACAGATGCAACATCTCCTCTTGCAAATAGGAGGAGATCATACGCAAAACTCAAGTGAGTTAAATCCAGCCTTGAACACATGGGATGATAATGAAAAGCCTTCTCATGCTTCAAAGTCTTCAAGTTCCTGCTCAAGTATTCCATTGTTATATCAAACAAAAAGAGGGACATTGGATCCCCTTGCCTCAACCCTCTAGTTGCATCAAAAGGCTTAGTTGTTTCCCCATTGAAGAGTATAGTATAATTAACGGTTGTCACACATTCAAGAATCCACTTAGTGCATTTGTTTGGGAAGCCCAAGCCTTCTAGCATTTGTTGTAGGTACCTCCAATCTACTGTATCATAGGCCTTTGGATATCCACTTTGACGAGACATCTTGGTGAAATGTTCTTCCTAGAATAAGCCTTAACCAACTCATGGGCAAGTAAGACATTATCTGCCACTTTTCTACCTGGAATAAACCCTGCTTGTGTATCTGAAATTATAAAAGCTATAACTTTCTGGAGTCTGTTGGCCAATACCTTGGCAATGAGTTTATATAGCACTGTGCAGTAGGCTATTGGTCTGTATTCTTTGATGCTAGAAGGGTTAGGAACTTTAGGAAGTAATGTGATAGCTGTGCAGTTGATTACTCTGAATAACTTCCCTGTTTGAAAAAAATCCTTAACTGCTTGACAAATTTCTGAGCTGATAAGAGGCCAAGTTGATTTGAAGAATAAGGCATTATATCCATCTACCCCTGGTGCTTTATCATCTCCAATAGCACATAATCCATCTTAGATTTCTTGTTCAATGACTTCAGCACAGAGACCGATCTGCTGTATATGATTGAGCACTGGTCCAAGTTTCATCACCTGTTTGTTTACTGCTAGTAATTGGACTACAGTTGATTCCATTGTTGATACCCAATTTTGCCCTCATATTTTATAAATATTATATATACTTTCAATATATTAATTTTCACTATTATCCAATTTATTGGGGTTATATAAGTATTTTCTATAATTTTTCATAATTTTTAAAGACTTTAAAATTGATTTTCTTGCATTTAAATTGTTCAAATGTTTATTAATTACCCTTTTCAAATTACCTTGTGATGACTTAATCATCCAAATTTATTATTTACATCCATATATATATTTTATAACATTTGTTTGCTTCATTACATGTAATTATATTTGTATTTTTGAGCTATTTATATTTTTTTACAATAATAGCATATATTTTACAACTAATTGCATTTTACTATTTTATTTAGGGTCAAAATAACTTTTTATATACTTACAACCTTCAGCTATTATTTGTAAATACTTATTTATTTAAATAATATTTTTTATACTTATTTAGCTATTTTATTAATTTATTTTTCTCTTAATTTTATTATTTTAAAATCTGGCCCAAGTTAAGCCTAATTTTCGGACCACTTAAGGTCCAAACAAATGAACCCATCCCCAATTGACCCCCCAAAGCCCAAAACCAAGCAACCCAATAAGCCTGTCCATTTGCGACCCGACCCTAGCGCCCTTTAATCTCGGCCGTTGATCTCAAATGATCAACGACCCATAATAAATCTCACATTCTCCTTATATCCCTATAACCCAAACCCTAGACCCCATTTTCCGTCTTCGCCGCCTTCAAACACTTGCCCTTCTTCTCTGAGATAAACCTTAGCCGACCTAAAGGATCCCCATCACCCTTCCTCATATGCGTTCCTACGCGGATTCTACTTACCTTTTTCTGTTATTATCATTCATTTATGGTAACTTTCGCTACCATTATACTTATGGCAAGTTTAATCCTCACAGATTTGGCTTTGATTCTATGGTTCTGGGTGCATTTATGGTTCTATACACTGGAGAAGAGAAAAATCTCTCTTGTACCTAGTATATCTTCGTTGATTCCGTCGTGATTAGGGCATGTGAACGATTCGCCCTGAATTCGATTCCAACTAGGGTTTGGGCTCTGATTCTTCTTTTACTAGTTCTATCATTGATTGCATGTGATATTTTCTTTCCTTATTTTGTGTTTAACTGATTGTCTTCTATGTTTGTTCTTTCAACTTCTACCACTATATGGGGACCGGAATCACTGCATTATTCTCTCACTCTCATTTACTATACTCTGAAATTCGAGACCTTGGCCGGCTGAAATCCAAGGCCATTCGAATTTGATTGTGTTCATTCTCAGTGTGAGCACTGCCCGGGGTTCATTGGAAACCCTTGGGAACTCTGACGCACTGGGATTTTTGGGGGGTCTGCTGCTCTTTTGCTACTGACAATTAAAGCACTGATAGAAATTGTTCTTCTTACTTTCCTGTCAGTTAATTTGTAATTGGTAAGTGCCTTTGGCCTTTGCAGTTTCATTCTCTATTCGTTTGTGTTCATGCTTTGTATATTTATGCCATTGAAACTTTTGTGAATCAATGTGCTACTATGTCATCTCTGTTTGTAGCCCTATTTGCTCTGAAGTTATTCTCGTGGCTCTATATTTTTTTTCTAGCACCTGAACTAGCCCAAATTCTAACCCTGATTGTAGCTTTCTTAAGCATGTCTAGCCTGGTGTTTTGTGTGTGTCTGAATGCTTACATCTACTGCTTGTCCTGAGTTTATCTTCTACCCTGTTCTGGATTCTTGTGATTAAACCAATTTAAGCCCCGAATATGTTCTAATTCATGTTAGACCATTCATATATAACTTAATGCTTACCTAGAAGTTATTTCTTGATCATGTTGATTAGTCAAACATGCTTTCTTTCTATTTAATGTGTGCTCTTTGATTTGTTCAATTCAGTGCTCTTTAATATTGCCTAAGACCTTTAGAATGAGATTCAATATCTAGCTCCTTATCCTATATGTGATTAGGACCTAGTGCCTGCATGTCCTGTTAATCTGGAGTTGATATATTTTCAACTATCATGAGTTCTGATATTGTCTTTGAAGCTTTTGTACTATGATTGATACTCAATATGTTAAGTCTCATGTTCGGCTAAGTGACATGTTTGCCCACTGTTGTAAACTATGCCCACTAGCATATTCTTGTACTATTTATGACCACATGCTCACTAGGCTTTCATGTTAAAAACCTTCATGTAAAAACTGCCATCGACTTGTTCCTGTCTATGACTTTACTAGATTTTCATGTTAATTGTCTAAAGACTTTTAGGCTAATTCTGTACTGTGCTTTACTTTGAAACTCTATTTGAAGTAGTTTGCTAGCTTATGATGTTCAATCTTGTCACTTTGAAACCTAGCATGAGCTCACTTTATGTATGTCTTGTAATTTTCCAAAACTCCATGTGATCCTATTTATATACCTTGGTTAGAACTGTTGTTAGTTACAGCTTTAAGAACTAAGTCTGTGGCCTCCAGAGCTGCTTAATTACTTCATCGAATATTTGTTACTTGCATGGTTAAGTAAGTCATGCATCTTAGGCATGTTATTGGGAAATATATACTGTTGGACCTAGGTGCCGGATTCAGGTATACTCTATTGTTCTGCTAAGTTTGGGATTTGGGCATGCTGGTTGTGTGGAGAGTGAGGTTGTTGAAGGCCCAGTCAGTGCTGGGTTACTTTCGTTTGGGTCTGTTCTCAGGCTCGCTGATGGTTCTTTGCGTAATATTTGTACTTGTACTCATTATCTGGCCCTGTAATAATTTGTAAACAAACAATTGGGGAGTTAGTAAAATTGGAAAAATGGGTATATTCTTTTTTTGCATAAAAGGGGTAGAAAAACATGCCTATATGGTCTACATGCCTTGTTTGCTATTTGTTTGACATGCTCCATTTCTACACACTAATAGAAGTCATGCCTATAGGAATCACGCACACACTTCACTCAAGTTGTCAAAATGTGTTGCTACACTTGTTTCCATGTCTACTGCTCAATGCTTTGGATAAGCATGCCTATAGGATACAATAATACAATGCATTTGCTAATCTAGATATCATGACTATAAGGTTTAATAATTGATCAACTGCCTTATGTTACTTTTGTACTGCCTCACTTAGATGACATGCCTATTCGGATAAAAGCATTATTAAATCAAGTCTAATTGTCAATTGTTAGAAATCCTGCCTATAGGATGTTTATCGGCATTGCTAATCTTGTGTTTTCAAGCGACTTCACTGCCTCACTATGCGATTATTAGAAATCCTGCCTATAGGACACGTCTATAAATCAGCACTGGTAATTCATAACTCTGAGATCGTTTCATCGCGTAAACAATTAGAAATTATGTCTATAGGATTTACAATGCCTGTAATCTGCCTAAGCATTAGTCTAAAATTGAAGTACTGCTTGCATAATACCAGAAATTAGAATCACATAGGAACCATACCTATAGGATTTAACGACTCAAACATGTCTTAATACTGAAACTGTCTACTGCGTAACATGAAATCTGATCGTGTACTTTTGTGCTTATGTGTGGAGGTTAACTTGAGCCTTTCATTTGCTATTGTGTGTAGTCCTATCTGTTTTGAATGTCGCCTAGTTTTATCATTTTGAGCAACCTAAGTAAAGTCTAGAACCACCTAATAGTAGGTCCAAAGCCTCGTGGGTCGTAGGCATATGACGAGTAGTGCATGTATAGGGTACGATTTAGAACTGAATTAGAGCGCCTTTAAGTAACAACTTCAACATAGTAATTGGGAAGCAGGAGATGATAGTCTGTGCCCGCTGAATAATATGAGCAACCCCCTACTATAAGGGAGTTACGAAGTATTATTTATGTTGCACGGGTTGATCTTTTAGGCTAAAAAACTTAGGACCCCCCTTTTCTTTATATACTTGTTATTTACACGTAGTCACCTAATATAGACCAATGTAGTTGTATCCTTGTAATCATTAAAGATTTGTACCGATTCTCATGTGTTATGATAAAACTCTTCGACTTCTATATCTCTCTTCGTTTATTTGATCACCTAGCCTAATCACATAATTTACATAGTTTAAAATTTGGCCGGGACCCATAGTTGTGGACCTCGAAGAGTGCCTAACACCTTCTCTTTGAGGTAATTTGAGCCCTTACCCGATCTTTGTTGACACAGACTAGTCAAACAGAGTTATTTATAAATAGGTGCCCCAACGCACCTTATAAATCGTTAGGTGATGACTCTTCTCTTTTAATACCTCCATTTAAAAGA